AGCCTCTGACTCGGGCTCGGGTGCCGAGTCAATGGACGTTGGGGAGGTCGAGGAGCAGGAGGGTGCTTTCCGTTTCTCGTCGGCTCTGCGGGAGGTACGGCAACGTATTGCTGAGTTTATCCCCCAGGCCGCGGTTCCTCCCAACTGCTCGGACTCATATGAGTTCAGCCTGCTGGGCGAGGCGTTTGCCCCTAGGCAACCCTCGCAGACGCTGCTCCGCATCTTGCCGTCCCTGGTGCAGGACGTGGTGGATCCCCTGGTGCAGCCACCGGTGGATGCCCCTCCTGGTTGGGACATGCCTCCGAGTGTGAGGTCGTCAGCCCTGGAAGCCCCGGCCTGCCAGGCAAGGGCGAACGCTGGGGACGTGTCGCCCCCTGCGCATGTCGATCTACAAGGAGGTCTTATGCCAAGCAGGTGCGGGTGGTGATCCAAACCTCTCCTCTATTCAGAGGTCGTCCCGAAGCTGAGGGGAACGCTGGGGACGTGTCCCAGCATATCGTTCTCTTTATGCCAACTATCCGAAGTTCAAGCCCATCAGCGCGTGCTGTCAGTGGCGTCTACGGTGATGTGCGCAGTCATGGGATGCTCAAGCTGTGGCTGTTGACGTTGACACCCGAGTCTGCCGGCTGGCTTTGGCTGCTGGGCAGGGGTAGGCGGAGCCGTCCCGCGAAGGGTAAGGGCAAGGAGCAGTCCTCTTCGTCTGGCTCTCAACCTTTTCGCGGGCGCGGGAGGTCTGCCCCGACCTCCAGTTAATACAACAGGTTGTCGCCGTGGGTCCGTTCCAGTCAGTTCTCTATTCCTACCAGAGTGGGAGAAGGCTACCAGCAACACTTGGGTGCTTTCCACCGTAGGTGTCGGCCATCTACCACTGTGGAAGCGAGGCCCGCCAGAATTCACCGGCATACGTCGCGACGGGTTCAGGCTTTGCTGGACAAGTCTGCAATAGAGCACATACCACCGGGCGAGGAACAGGGGGATTTTTATTCCACGTACTTCCTCGCGAAGAAAGACGGCAGGTTCGTCCCATTCTCAACCCTCAAGGGGTTGAATCGCATGCTAGAGGTTCCATCCTTCAAGATGGAGACTTCGCTCGGGTGATCTCCTCTGTTCAGCCCGGCGATTGGCCACGTCGATCGATCTAAAGGATGCGTTCAAGGGGCCCAGTACCTCGGTTCTCAGTACCTCCGGTTCTCTTAATGACGGGCTGAATTGCCAATTCATGGTGCTCCCCTTCTGCATATCCACTGCCCCCAGGGTGTTCACCAAGCTCATGTTAGTGCCAGCTACCCTCGCTCGATCGCAAGGAAAGCGTTGTTACCCTTACCTAGACGACTGGTTGCTCAGCGCGCTAACTCAGCCAGCGAGCCTAGATTCTACACACACAGTGATAGACATTCTAGTTCGACTGGGGTGGATCATAAACCTCAAGAAATCCGACCTGGTACCCACCCAGGACTTGGTTTTTCTCGGGGCGCGGTTGCAAACTCACAAGGATCTTGTCTCCTTGTCGCCCGACCGGGTCACCAGAGTACAGGAGATGGTGTCTTCGTTCCTCTCCCAGTCCCAGGCACCAGCGTGGACTTGGCTCCCTCTACTGGGCCATATGGCGGCGACTATCTCTGTAGTGTGGCGGGGGCAGTTGAGGATGCGCCCTAAACAGCAAGCTTTGGCGAGTCTGTGGGCTCACTCGGAGGACCTGGAGCGGAGTCTCACAGTCCCCGGGTGGTTTTCTCCTTATGAGCGAAATATTCTCAAGCACGACGTTAAGCCCAATTTCACCTCACCTCACCTCACCTTCAGTGGTGGACCAATGTCAGGAATCTCTCCAAGGGGTCCCTTTGGAAATCCTGACGCCAGCTCTTACAGTTCAAACCGATGCGTCCCTCACGGGCTGGGGGTGTTCTGGGCACCCTCTCGTGCAGCACTTTTAGCTGGCGCCCGCCTCCCCCGCACTGATTTATTCAGCAGAAGGAATGATGATACGGGCCTAGGTGCTTACCTGGTTGGCTGCGCATGCGTAGCGTATAATAGATAAAAAGATTTTATTTATTGTACAATATTTTTATTAAAACATTGATACAACTGTCACAGGACATTTTCAGCGCAGAAAATGCATATATGTACCCCAAGGACGATTCTCTTCAAAGAATTGAAAACCTCTACAGGTTTGTTTAAATTCAGGTTTCCTTTGTATTGAAGAGCCTATTTCTGCTTGTGGTACTTCCGAGTCATAAAACCGTGTAACTTAATTTTTAGTTGAATAAACATTATTTATTCCACAAGTCGAACATATGGGAGCTCCATATTACAATGTCGGGAATAGAAGTTGCCATTTGTGTCTGTTCCAAATAAATTCTGCACACTGAGACTTTACATATATTACAGAAAAGATGGACATATGAGAGTTCGCTTTATTACATCTGAAAACCACATTTAGAGATGCTTGACCGTATGTACTGTTTCTTGATTTGATCCAAAGAATATATTTTCATTCCAGATGTTTCGCAGATCCTTTGGCACTACTGTCAGACGAGTCTTGAGAAAAATCTGTCCAATTCTCTCATCCCCGCTGAAACCACATACAATAAATTCTTGCCTCAACTATTTACGTACTTTTTTAATTCCGTGTCGACATTTGCCTAGTCATCGGTTCCCAAAACAGGAAAGTCAAGTTGAGCAAGCCTGCCGTGGCCCCAGCTTCGAAGAAACCTGAAACGATAGTAAATAATCCAGTGAAAAACGTACTTATCTTCCTCACAGCATCTTTACTAACTTGGTGAATAGAAACACCCGATTGTACAATTGACCATGCGAGTTTCACGCTACATTGTAAACCAATAGTGAGTGCTTTCCGCAATCTGATTGGTTAATTACCCTTGTCGAATATTGTTCGACATACCTGAAAATGATGGCCTAATAACCGCACATTAATACGTTGGCACTAATACCGTACTATTTTCGCTGCATGAATTTGCATAATTGAGGAACATTACCACCTCAAATTCTTTCTCTGGGATTTTGATACAATCTTTGAAGACGACAAATTCTTGGAAGAATTATTCAAAGATTATGGTGTATACAATCACATGGCACATAATCATATGTGATCAGATAACGGTAAAGTGATTGAAGAGCCATAAAATAATATCCTTCAATGATGTTTATTCACAAAAATGAACTGCTCCGCAAATTTCAAGCTTTCGAGTATTTAATTTGGTACAATATTCCAAGTTTAAATATTATTCAGCCAAAGAATAAGTTAATGACACTTGTTTCTAGATAATGATCTTCCAAAATACACCAATGCCAGCACTCCCGGACGTTTCCACTTCGAAATTCCAGCGCTAACGCTGACCCGGCTCCATCTTGTACACCGAGCGTCCCTCCACAGTCCCGCTTTGCTAAGGTTGATGAGAATGGCCTGAGGGAAATATTTGATGGGTCATTATCGAAAGCAACTGAGAGAAATACAATTTTCTTCAGAGGTGTGCAACGTTTAACATTTTGTAAACAAACCAAAAGGAAGTTACATGTTAGTTACCTCCCTTTCGCTAGACTGTCACAAGGCTTCTAAACAGAATTATCAAAGGCATAAATGCAAATATCGTTATTATTTCTCAAAAACAGCTTTCCACAAGATTTACATCTGATCTAACACTGAATGATAATATTATGATATACTAAAATAGCAAAAAAATAATGCCGTGGCCCCAGCTTCGAAGAAACCTGAAACGATATTAATAATCCAGTGAAAAACGTATTTATCTTCCTCACAGCATCTATATATACTAACTTGGTGAATAGAAACACCCGATTGTACAATTGACCATGCGAGTTTCACGCTACATTCAGCAACATCACCATGAATCTTTCAAATAGTGACACTAGCATGGGGTTCGCGAGAAGCTGAGCATCCCGTGTCACCCATTATGAACAAAATAGTAACCTCCCAAAACAGCAGTGCACAACTAATCCTCAAGCTGATACCTATTTCTTATAATGGATTAGTCCAGTAGAATCACTTAGACGTTATATGAAGCACTTCATTTGCACAAAATATAATATTTGACATCAGCATTTGTCAAGGACAACCACTGATCATGTACATTCCGCATTACATGTATCTGTAAGCGTTACGTTGTTTGAGGTATACCCTTTCGAAGTCTAGCCATAATGACATTAAACAAAAGATTATTACAACAGTTTAAAGAAGTTTAGTTTTACACCACATTTAGCAATATTCCAGCAATATAACTGCGGGGAACACAAGAAATTGGCTTCAACTCTATGCCCATGTAGAGAATCGAACCCGAATATCAATCATAAAAATACCAATATCCCTAACTTATTTTGTCCAGTATATAATCTTTATAGAAATATATAATTGCGTCCCAAAAGGCGGTATAATGAAAAGGAGCTACAATGAGATGGGAGCAGTGTGCGAAATAGCTGCTAGCCCGCAGGCTCGTGGCTAGTAAAGAAACAGTCATTCCAGTAAATCGCCAGTCACTGACTCGACTGGCCTGTGATTTTTCATTTGGTATGGGGTATTCCTGTATGACCTATTTAAGTTATTTGAGCATGAACAAAATTTCTAAAAATTCAGACATGTTTTCTTTATTTGTTTTCGATGGTATTTTATCTTTTGTAATTGTTTGCTTAGTTTATTCATTCGCATTTCGAACTAGTGAATTATTTTGTGGGCTAGTAACTTCCAGGCATAGCTAGCCCTACTGGCTAACAAAATTTGGAAACTATTTCGCACACTGGATGGGAGACTGCTATATTAAGGCTTTAACATTGCAGAAAGGGCTGGAGGGAAGAGCAACAATGTGGTTCAGGGACTGTGAGACAGACATGTTTTGAGACACAGTTGGTAACTGAAAGTGGGTCAAGCTTGGAAGGCGCAAAATGCACGAGCAGGCGCAGTCACGTTTGTCATTGCTGATGGAGAGAGAATGTTAAATTAATTCACAGAACGACAAGAATAGGCTGAGACTGTACTACGGCTGACTTTATGGGACAGCATACCAGGACCACGAAAACCATGTTTAATCCATGTCGGGAATATCCCAGTCGTCAGAGGTAAGGTGTTATGGATGTTCCTAAGTTAGGTTGGTAGTCAATCTTGGGCGGTGGGGTAGATAGCCAAAAGGCCCTCGTGTCTTTGCCAGGATTAAAATTTAAAAAATATTATTTTTGAGATGACCCTCCACTCGAAATGCTTCACAGTACAAAAATAATGAGTCATGATGTACTGTATGTATGAGTCATGTATTGTACTGTGAAGTATTATGAGTTAGGGTCATCTCAAATTTTTATATATTTTTCAAAAAATCTGTAATCCTCGCAAAGACACGAGGGCCTGTTGTGGTTAAAACGTCCGCTCGTCACTCCGACCCGGGTTCGATTCCTCACGGGGGTACAATGTGTGAAGCCAATTTCTGGTGTTCCAAGCTGAGATATTGCTGGAGTATACAGGGGCGGTTGGGTATCCGTGGGGTTAAAGCTTCCAAAACAAGCTTGACTTGATATTCAGGGCGACATGACGAACTTCACAGACTGCAAGTCTTGGTATTATGTAGGGGCGGCGGGGTAGCCTAAGGTTAAAGCCTTCGCTCGTCGATTCCCCACATGGGTTCCCCATATGGGTACAATATGTGAAGCCCATTTCTGGTGTTCCCCGCTGTGATATTTCTAGAATATTGCTAAAAGCGGCGTAGAACTATACTCACTCACTCTTTGATACAGCAAACCTCAGAAAGCGGCGTAAACCCAACTCACTCACCCACCTTTTTTCAATCTCCAAAGTTCCACATTGATACCCATGTTTCTGCAGTTGAGAAGGTAGCATTTTCCAGACCCTTCATCGTTGGTTAATACATTTCTATACTAATAAATGTTCATGTTATTCTCCAAACGCGTCTGTCACAAAACACCCGTGAAGATCCGGGGTAGAAAAGGTCTTCAGCAACCCATGTGCTTGCCATAAAGGCGACTATGCTTGTAAGAGGCGACTAACGGGATCGGGTGGTCAGTTTCGCTGACTTGGTTGACACATGTCATCGGTTCCCAATTGCGCAGATCGATGCTCATGCTGTTGATCACTGGATTGTCTGGTCCAGACTCGATTATTTACAGACCGCCGCCATATAGCTGGGATATTGCTGAGTGCGGCGTAAAACTAAACTCACTCACTCACACACTCTATCACAAAACACTGACATTTCACCCAGACATAATGTTAACCTATTTAAAAATGTGTATCTACACACTCAAAAATTAAACCCAGCAAGAGCCCCAAACAATTCTTTATGTCAGAGCTGCGGCAAGTTTGACTTGTCCAATCATTCTTGACTTGAGTTCGACTACAAGTAATTTCTGGACACCGATCCTGACGACCCGACCACGTTCGGGAGAATTGTTTTTTTCTTTATTTTAAACCGACCGACCGACTCAACTTAGGATCACGGTGACTTACTGAAACACATAAACAAAATGCTGCCCTCACGGTGGAACTCTGGGCCTCCGACCGTGTTACCGAACTCTCCCGAGGGTTGCCGAAAAAGGGAAACCGGGTTTACCCCATTCGTCACCACTCGCCCCTTTCCGTAACCTCCAAGAAGGCTCGTCACCCACACGATACTTGTTATGTGCGAAAATACGACAAACCAATCAGAACGCGCGTAAATGAGCCCGGTGCTTTGATAAAAATAATCCCGAATACTTAAATCGTTTATGGCATTATGTCATTGTATAAAAATTATGAAAAATATATATCGTCATATTGAAAGTACAAAGAACGTAGCTAAAAGGATTTTGCTGCCTATTATGAAGTTTTTAATAAGAATCATGCGATTGACGGTGAGATTCAAATACACGCACGTGCGTTTGTTGACATAACGGCTCTCATGGGTCCAGCTAAGTGTATTTATGATGATCTTGCGGGCTTGTTATGGAGATTGTACGTGCGCTTTGACCAATTTTAGGAAATGTAATTATAATCGCTACGAGTTTCAAAACAATAATATCGTATTTGTATGTAATTATCAACCTTAATCTTTAACATTGGGCTTATATTTCATAGCTCTGGGGATATTTTAGTCTGAGTGTTTTTTGGTCATTGATATTTTATTTCAGCGAATCCATTTGAAATTCCACCAGGGTGTGACAGCAAGGTTACATGAATGTTCAGTCTGAGAAATATTTTAAAGTCATTTTTGAGTATCTGCTTTTGGATTTAATATAGCTGAATTTTGTGTGTGTATATTCAATAAAACAATTCCCATTTGTGATGATTAAACCCTATTTAGAAAATTAACATAATTGGAAATATAAGGTGAACCGATGTCTTTAACAAATATGTTTTTCTCATTCTTTTAGTTGTATCAAAGAGGATTAATTCTTTAAGATGAATAAGTAAAAAAACCCAAAACATCAACCTAGCAATTTAATTTACATGTGCTTCGGTGACATTAAGAAACTTTGGAATCAAACAGGGATAGAGTTATCGTTCTTTTGAAAGTAGTTCTGATGTTCGTGCGCCAATGTGAAATCCTTCCAGAGGGGCACGAGTCGCTATTCGGCTTGTCCCGGAATAACACGAGTTGGTCACGAATGGGTTTACCCGAGTTGTACCGAATCTCCACATACCGGCTTCAGCAGCTGCTTCTGTTAGTCAGCCTACAAGCGCTCAGCATACATATGCACGTCGCTGGCGCCGCGAGTGATTGTTAACCTGTTTGTATGTATTTCTGCTCCCCTAAATATGCCATTAAGTTTCAACATACAGCACGGAATAACTGCACAGTAAGTCACCGTTCACTGTTTTCCACCGTTACACAAATCTACAGAAATCAGCTGTTATGTCTTCACAGATTTTGTAACGAATGCTGCGTCCAAGTGAATTATTTACCAGCGAAATGTGGTGGGTATGGATATGTTGATGCCAGTGCGCGGTACTCGGGAGCCGAGACAGGTATATAACGGTTTCACGTGCTGGATCAGTCGGGAGGTCCGCGGCAGTCGGTTCTGTATCCGCTACTCTGGAAACTGATAAATGTAAGATAACGCCGACTGTGTACCTAGACCTCCTTTTGGTGCCTTTTTGTTACCATTATTTCCTTCAGGTGCCACAATATCCCAATATTACAACCATTCTTTCCACACCCGCAGGACCTCGACCTCCTTTTGGTGCCTTTTGTTACCATTATTTCCTTCAGGTGCCACAATATCCCAATATTACAACCATCCTTTCCACACCCGCAGGACCTCGACCTCCTTTTGGTGCCTTTTTGATACCATTGCCCTTCTGATACCATTAGTTCCTTCCGGTGCCACAATATTTTCATACCAAGATCTCCCTGTACTGACCACCTTCGAGTATGTACTGCCTTTTCATGTAAATACGTCTTTTTGACATCACGAACCTGTGTTTAAGCACAGTTAGTGACATGCATGTACGTCTGTCGATGCTTGTACTGGTCCGAGACCCGTGAAGATCCGGGTTAGAATTGATCTTCATTAACCCATGCCTGTCGTAAGAGGCGACTAACGGGATCAAATGGTCAGGTTCGCTCACTTGGTTGACACATGTCATCGCATCCCAGCTGCGTAGATCGATGCTCATGCTGTTGATCACTGGATTGTCTGGGCCAGACTCGATTATTTGTAATTTGCAGACCGCCGCCATATAGCTGGAATATGGCTGAGTAAAGCTAAACTCACTCACTCACTCACTCCATACAGCCACATTTGGGTTAGAATTGGTCTTCAGCAGCTCATGCTTGTAAGAGGCGACTATCGGGATCGGGTGGTGGACGCCATCGTATCAGAATGGAGTAGATCGATGCTCATACTGTTGATCACTGGATCGTCTGGTCCAGACTCGATTATTTATAGACCGTCATATATAGCTGGAATATTGCTGAGTGCGGCATTAATTAATCAACAAACAAACAAGGCAGTGATAGTACAGGAAGATTGCTAAAATCGCCGTAAAACCATGCTCACTCCGGGAAACCTCGTGTAAAATGTGCTCCTCAAAATCCGTGCTAAGACCTGGAAGCTCAGCGACTGTCACGAGATCTGTGATGCCCTATGCCCCTGTTGCCTTGTGCGCAACACATTCGGCCAATCAGAAGCCAGCTTTTTCGAGTCCGATGCCCATTCGGAACTACTCGTCCCTTTCCGTACGATGCCTTGAAGAGGGAATCGTCCATTACGTGTGGCAAGAGCAAGGAAACAGCAGAGACCATCCCCGCAACATAACATGAGTCAATACAGCTATCAGCGTTGAGGGAGCGAGTTTAGTTTTACGCCCTCAGCAGTATTCCAAGGCGGCGGTTTGTAAATAATCGTGTCTGGACCAGGCAATCCAGGGATCAACAGCATGAGCATCGGTTTTGGCAATTGGGATACGATGACATGTGTCAGCCAAGTCAACGAGCCTGACCACCCGATCCCCGTTGGAGCGGAACATGACATTGGTCTGTTAACTTTTGAAACAATTCTAATTTATTATGTGGGCAATGCTTTAGTTACAGCAGATTTTGAGGGTTTGGTTAAAGACGAAAAACCTAAAGCGAAGGAATTGGCTCGAGGTTTCACGTTTTCATCCAAACCAATAACACAACCATTACATGTAGTTTCTACAAGAAAATAGGGGCGGTGTAGCCTAATGGTTAAAGCGTCCACTCTTCACGCTGAAGACGCGGATTCGATTCCCCACATGGGTATAATATGTGAAGCCCATTTTTGGTGTCCCCTGGTGTTGCTGGAATATTGCTAAAAGCGGCGTAAAACCATACTCACTCACTCGCTCATTACGAGAAAATACAGTTCCTAAATTACAGTAAGAAAATGCAATGAAAAGAAGATCTTCAATTCAGAAGATCTTCATTTTGTGGTAATCTAGAATTGGCTTTCTTGGATATATTTTGTTTCAGGGTCTGTGTGACGGACTATATGTACCAGAGAGAAAACGTCAGTATACCTTCAACTTTAAACAACTCAGTTGTAGCCGGCGAGCGGGCGAAAGACCACGTGCAACATGCAGACAATTGAAGTCCTGGCATCCAATGGGAAAACCATGCGTTAAGGTACTGAGCATGAAAGAGGTGAGGTTAAATTGGGTTGTACGTCGTGCTTGAGAATATTTCGCTCATATGACGACGTGCATGCGTGTGTATGTGTATGTGCGGCTGCTTGTACTAGCCCAGGCTTAAGCTGGTTTTAATGTGCTAGCCCACTGAGATACCATGCCGCAGTGAAGCATGAATACCCCACTCAGACACATTATACTGACTCCGAGCCGACCAGTCCTTGTTGTACCCATTAATGCCGAGCGCCAGGCAGGGACCAACAAGTACCATATTTTAACGTCTTTTGGTATGACGCGGTCGGGGATCGAACCCGCGACCTTCCGCACTCCGGGCGGACGCTCTAACCACTACACCACGGAGGCGGTGTGAGCATGAAAGAAGGACTTGCAGGCATGATTCATGCCATTTTGATTTTTTGTACCTGTATCCTGTGAAATCACGATTTGATGCAAAGTGAAAGGCTATTGGTACAAATTTAGTTCATTAAACTAGGTCTGAAAATGCAAATGTAAAACCTGATAGCAAGCTATTTCTAACAGTTTTAATGTTGTGCTTCAACGTTGGTCTCAGTGTTACTATGAAATGCTTATAATACAATAACAAAATGGCCTTTTAATGTGAGACTGCGTAGATAATGCAGGGCAAATCTGAAATAAATGAAAGGAAATTTACAAGTTTGGCATGACATCTGTGCATTTGATTGTGTATATTCCGATCCACAAAGCGTTCGTAACGTTACGACATGTCGTAGCTCTATACTACACCATTGGTATACGAATGACGTAAAGCTACAAACGCATTGTGGATAGGGTCCCTGGATATTATTGCCCCTGGGTGCAGAATTATTTATTGACGCATAATGTATATTTCGAGGTTTTCCATTATTCTTTGACTGATAGTTAACGATCCACAAAAGGATGTACTTTAATTATTATTTTTTGTAACCCACCTACCTTTTAAAATCTTACAAATAATCGTCGTTGACTCTTTTCTTACGCAGGTGATTGAAGTTTCCCTGGCTGAACAGCTGAATTGTCCATGTGTTAACCCAGGTTAAGGTAATAAATCAAGTTTAAAGTTCGGTCAATTGCCCACGTTAATCAAATGTATACTAAAATCCACGGAAAGAACCAGATATGGAACATAACCATATTGTACGAGATTATTGAAGATAGATGACGCTTAAAGACTTACACAGGGGCGTGTGGGAGGCCTAGTGGTTAAAGCTTTCGGTCGTCACGCCAAAGACCTGGGTTCGATTCCCGACATGGGTACAATGTGTGAATCCCATTTCTGGTGTCCCCACCATATTGCCGTGATATTGCTGGAATACGTTTCAAAGTGACGCAAAACTAAACTCACTCACTCAAGGTTGTGAGTTTTAAGACAGCAGCCATTTGTTGCACTTTGGGGAAATGTTCACGATGCCGAGCTGTAAAAAACAGTACTTCACCTTGAAACCCTGACCCCTATACTGGAGCCAGCCGAAGACCCGGGTTCGAATCCCCACATGGGTACAATGTGTGAAGCCCATTTCTGGTGTCCTCCGCCGTGATGTTGCTGGAATATTGCTAAAAGCGGCGTAAAACCAAACTCAGTAATCAGAAATCAAAACCCGGGTGAAACGTGAATTACTGTTTTGTGGATGTGTGCAGTAATATGCTTTTTCTATTTATAGATTCGTTGTTGCAGTCGACATAGGATTGCCCTGTTCCATTAACTCGTTTGCCATTGGTTGACTCGCCAGCTCTGTCCACGCCAGAATCAACCCATGCTCGTTAAAGTCGACTTACGATTGGTCAGACTCGCTGACCCAGTTGGCCACATGAAATGGAAGGACGTTTACGTCAAGCCCAGAATCAGCCATTGACGTTATCTGAATTGGGACGAGCGTTGGTTCAGACATGGAACAACATTACCCAAGCTTTCTTCAATCGCTGTGTGTTGTCGTTACCAAACCTGCATCAACGCCAATCGTGGACACACACGATACTGGATTTGTGAACTGACTTTTGACAAAACAACTTTCCAAGAGCGTGTGACCATATCTAGCGTTAAATCATACCGATTTCGATATTATCCTGTCAACAGTTAAACAGTGATTTAGGAAAACACCACAAATCATGTTATAATCTTTTTGCATTAAAAATGGCGTAACATCAAATAATGCACAGTTACTTTATTCCAGTAGAATATGTGTACTGTGCTCGGACATCGTCTCACCCTCATGTGAACTATGCTAGGACATCGTCTCGCCCACATATGTGTACTATGCCAGGACATCGTCTCACCCACGTGTGTGTACTTTGCTTGGACATCGTCTCAACACACGTGTACAACACTTTGCCTATTAGAACACCCTATTAACCAAATGTCCGCTGAACACCGGACACCGTCTATCCCACATGTGGACATCCTCTCACTTACACACGTGCATATCACTATGCATTTTGGACATCCGTCCAACCACATGCGTACAACATGGGAACTGACACAGGTCTATGCAACCCTAGGATACCGTCTAAATAAATTGAATTCTTTAAGTTAAAACAATTTCTTCCACTTGTGAGTACGCTACTATGCCAGTGATGACACCTTTTTAACCTCATTTCAAGGACACGCTATCAACCACATAGCAGTACAGGGCAGTGGGATAGCCTAGTGGTTAAAGCGTTCGCTTGTCACGCCAAAGACCCGGGTTCGATTCCCCACATATGTACAATGCGTGAATCCCATTTTTGGTGTTTACTGCCGTGATATTGCTGGAATAATGCTGAAAGCGGCCTAAGACTAAACCCACTCATTCACGAGGACACCCTTTTATCCACATTCTGCACAGCACGTCTCATCCACACGTGTGTTGCCTCTTTGTTCACAGTACTGCGAGATGGACGTAGTTTCTGGTGGTCAAGCTCTGGCCTGTCTCTACTTCTGTCCATTCATGGCAGTGGTGGGCGTGGTCAAACTTGCTATCCTCTTCTACTTCCACCAGGATGTCATTGCTCCCACGTGGCGCCAAGAAAGACTACATTTAGGGACCTACCTACATTAGGGATAATGTAATTACTTGTGTGCTCTAGGATTATCAGCCAAAAAGCCTCACCGACTGGGAACACATTCAAACATCGAATCACATTCAAGGCGAACCGAGATGCGAACCCATGATTGCTGGTTATTGGTGCACCTGATGGGATCCGGACGGTGAATTTCGCCTGAGATGACCGGGGAAGATTTATGCTGGATGTTCACAATTCCACATGTTCTACATGAAAATATAAACAAAAAAAACCCATCTTTTTCAAATGAAGACGAAAACATAACAACAAATCTGCCAAAAAATACATTGTGGCTTTTCCGGTGTTCAGAAATCGATTGGATCGACCCTAAATTCGGTTCAGAAACGGCGGGGGCCATTGAATTATACAGATGCACGCACAACTTATTGAAGTAAAAATACACACCTTATCCATAATATAATATTTACTGCTAAATCTGCAACCACCGCTTCGCCAAAATGGTTGTAGATTTTGAGGTGGATCGACTCTACGTATGAATTTTTCACTGGGTGGTTCGCCCAGGTATGAAGTAATATTTTTCAAGGTAACATCAGCATCTTTACATTAGTTACATGTTGGGAGTGTAAAACCTTATCACCAGAGAAATATATGATAAATATAAATAAATAAATAAATATATATATATATATATATATATATATATATTTATTTATTTCAAATAGATGACGTCATAGCAGTTTTTCCTCACACCAACCAGGCCGTGCAGGGTTTCTTTCTTTATAAAATCACGCGTTCTCAACCTTGAAAACTGGGAAATGGGCAGCAAACCGCCTTTAAGATCGAATCCATCGGCCAGACGGGCGCGGGATTCAACATCGATCGGATCCACCTCCTTCAGGATGTCAAAATCTTTAACTTCGGATCCCAGGTATCGTTGCCCGAACCTTGCTCAGAACCCTTTATCAACATTTCGGATACCGACGAAATCCGAAATTAACGTGATCTCCGGCTCATTGATAGACACAACCTGAACGAATGACCACGGTAACTCGGATCCGAACTTAATGCCAATTTGGCAAGCCCGCATGATAAGTTGCAAATAATTTTCACAGACAGATACGCAAGAACACAACGTTTGAATTCTATGATGTTTATACGGAAAACTATATAATGTGTAGTGGGATTTGTGTATGCACTTCAAAATCCAGTTCGCCGCAAGCATGTGGCTCGACCTCTTGGATCCTCAAAGCGGTGAACGTCTTAGACCTGCCAACTTCGGGCTTCCCTCCCACACAAAGCACACACACCGTGATATTATTTGAAAACTGTTCAAGGCGGCGTTAAACCCAAACACCTCATTCACTCACTTTTCAGACTTCAAATGACTGCGGTCCGTTTCAGCTGGAGCGGCATGTTACTGACGTCATTGCCTCACGTGTGGCAAACCTCCCTGATTGGCTGCAAGACGCTTTGGATTACATTGCAACACCCTCTGTCATTATCGCCGTCATTATACTCCTGCTGTGAGTTATACACATACTATTGTTTATGATAACAACCAAACATAAAGATTCGGATTAGAACTGGTCTTCAGCAACCAATGCTTGACTTAAGCAGTGATCGGTCCACTGACTTGGTTGATACATGTAATCGTATTCCAGTTGCGAGGGCGGTGGGGTAGCCTAGAGGTTAAAACTGTCGCTCGTAACGCTGAAGACCCGGGTTCGATCCCCCACATGGGTACAATGTGTGAAGCCCATTCTGGTGTCCCCTCGCCGTGATATTGCTGGAATTTTGCTTAAGGCGACGTAAAACTAAACTCACTCAATCCATTTGCGAAGATCGATCCTGATGTCAATCACTATATTGCCTGATCCAGACTTACTTACAGCCCGCCGTTTATGCTGGAATACTAAACTATAAATTAGGCGATAAACGTTAACTTTATACGGAAATCTTGGTGAATGTATAATTTTAAATTTATCGCTATTTCCATCAACCGAAATATATTCTTGAACCTTCACATCTAGTATTGGTTTTGATGATCGAATGTAAGTCTGGATTAAACATAATTCTCTTAAGCTGTAGTGACGTCATCCTAGTGTTGGTCGGTGGAGTGGGCTAGGGACAAAGCTCACTCCGAAGACCCGGATTCGATTCCCCACATGGAGACAATGCTCAATGCCCGTGTTTGGTATCCCCTGCCGTAATACTGCAAAATACTGTCGCTCGTAGGGTTCCTTAAATGGTAGAAAGCGTCTTTCCAGTGATTCCTTTAGTGAAATCAGTTGTAGCTATTCTCAGAAAAAACATAGTGTCAGGTGTTCGATGTTCATGATGTCAATCCCTCGATTATCTGGTCTGATTCACATGTCACTGACTTCGGTTGTCTCCATGCAGCCCGTGGTCTTTGTCTCGCCCTCGTCAAAGATTTTGAATCAGAAGAAGGTATCCCGATGTACTCTTTTTAATCATTCTTGTATTTTTTGCATGTGGACGGCTCATAAAAAATACAGGCCAACCGGCTCTTGTGAGAAACAAAGACAACATCGACATCACTGTTCCCGAACGTTTAACACTCAACATGTAAACATAAAACAAATACACAACCAGCAGAATATCCGAACAGGCAACACAAACAATGATGAGCGGATATGACGTGGGTAGAGCTGATGAGCACATCCTGCTCGCGGTCCATCGTACACCATCAGCCGGAATACCAAGCTGACTGACAGAACCGGGAACTCAAGTATTTAAGCCCCCGTTAATAATGAAAAATAACCCCTTTGGTATTCAAATTATAAAACCATACTTAAGCCCAGGTCTTAAATGCTGGAATTGCACATATTGAATGGAAAACACATGCAAACAATAATTATTTACTGACCTTTAATGTTTAATTCGTTTAAAAGAACACAGAACTGTAACCAAGAAGGATAAGTTTTCAAGAACTCAAAATGTTTTCTGGTTTTAAGGTCACAAGAAACTTCTATTATATCTTACAAGATCAAATTTCTTAAACGAACAACACCTTTCAAATATTAGGCCCAATTTTGGGCCCTTGGACTTAATTTCGCATGGGCTTTAATTGATAGGAAATCCCGGTACAAATGCAGACACATACTTGTATATAGAAATGGACAGCGATGGACACACGATGAGTCGACCATGTTGCCCGGGACACAGGACTGATGTGCGTTATTACCGACGCAGACCAGGGGATAATCGATTATGGACTTATATGTCATTATATGAATAACAGTAATTAATGAGACTTGATAGTGTTGCTAACAATCAATATGCAATGCGATGCTGATGATGATAAACAATGAGGATTAGTACATAATGAAGAATGTATCCCTGTTTTCATTGGCCGATATGTATTCACGTGGTAACCTGCTTATTCCTCTGTCAATATAGGTCCATATAAACAGGTATTAACTTCCTGAAAATCTTTATTTGCATACTAGCGTCATAGACATTATGGCAATAACGTAATGCTGTATTTATAGGATCGTTCTACTAAGTTCATTGGACTGGTTTATTGCATCGATGACACTGACCCTGGTGCGCCAGCAACTCACCTGGGCTAAGGCTGTCAGTAGTTTTTCTGTGGTACTTATCTCCATCCTCACCCAGAAAGAGAGTGGGCGGGCGGAATAGAAAAATCAGTAAAAAAGTTTTATTCAATGGTTGAAAAATTCATATTTAGATCACTTGGCGAGTCTTGAAAAGCATGATGTACATCGAATCGTTTTCGTTCGAAATTTAAAAAAAATACATGTAGGTAAAGAAAGATCATGCTGACCTTTTATTTTTTATGAGTGCAATCGTAAGAATATTTTTTTATCACATCAGAGTATATAATTATTTTTACACTGAGAGAAGAAAAC